CATGCCGTGCCTGTCGTCGGGAAGTTAATAGTTAGGTTCCCAAGGAAGGGCCTTCGCCAATCTCGTTCCCAGAGTATGCCAAACGAATGCTTCAACAAATTGTACGTATAGCAAAATGGTTTGTGCTTTGGCTGTTGATGCATGAAGCTCATTAGATCGTGTAATTTTTTTACTTGATCACGATCGTATTGAATTCTGAAAAGTCTTTTTCTGATGCGCAGTGTTAAAACTTCCAAATTTAAAAATACTACAGACTTGTTGATAATAGCACAGAGTGATAATAACCCATGCGTGTGAAGGTCATTGAAGGCCGATCTTCCAATTATCGTGTAGATGATTGTGATTGGTTAATTGTCGGGAAGTCAAATGTATGGCGAATGTGAGCAGACGTTAGGTGAGGCCTCGGCCACTAACAACGTCTGCGCAGGAGGCTAGCAAAACCCGCACCAGTGAGAAGTCAAAATGTTGATGCTATTTTTAGATTTTGCCTGACGTGACAACACGTTTGTACATTACAACGGTAATTACAGTGACAGTTTTATCGCATTTCATGTTCGCGGGTTATGCAGTGGCATGCCGTGCCTGTCGTCGGGAAGTTAATAGTTAGGTTCCCAAGGAAAGGCCTTCGCCAATCTCGTTCCCAGAGTATGCCTGTTCGCGGGTTATGCAGTGGCATGCCGCAGTGAACTGTAAATAACCTGGAACGATAACTCCGCCGCCATCTTTGAAGCCACTCATGAGTGATGAGTTTGCAGGTTGCCCCAGTCCTTTTTTACAAAATGGCGTCAAAAAATTTTTTTGAAAATCGATAAATTTTGCCCTTTTCTTTTTGTTAAGCACTTGCCAACTCCTCCTTATATTAAACTAAGACAAAAGAACTTTAAATAAATGTGCTTAAAATAAAAAATGGTTACCAAACAACAGAAATATCACACGTACAAGACGAACAACACGAGAAAACCGCGCGAAAATTTTCAGTTTTTCTGTGTTAGTAGACTTTCCAGAAAGGGTTCGGAGACATTTTGGCGTCAGTTATTTGAGAAAAGCTTAGACACTGTTAGAAATTCATTTGCGAGCATCCAGAAACTTATTGTTTTAAAGTTAAAATCAGATTAAACATGTAAAAAATCTTCGGGGGAAAATGAGTGTTTTTCATATCGCCCCAGTCCATATCTGGCTGGCAGAGCGCAAGTAATTTGTTATTTTTTAACATTTTTCTAATTAACAAAGTTGGAAAAAAAGTTTAAACTGCAAAATTAGTTTGTTATTGACTGGAATAAATGCCAGTTACTTGTGTCGTTTATGAAAACAAAACTTGCGTCAGGAAAATGAAAGCAAAACATATACTGTGCATTCCACAGGTAAGAAATTACAAAACAATTGAAACTTTAAAATATTTATTAATATTCAATTTATTTACATTTCAATAGTAAACACTACTATGACAATGGGTACATATTCATAATGACAAAATGAAAAAGCCTATTTTCATTAATACAGGTTTTCTTGAAAAAAGATGAAAGACATCTTAAGTGGGAAAATGTAGTTTAAGAGAGCAATAAATGATGGGCAACAGTGGAGGGCAAAACGCCACAGCTACATTTGTAGTAATCATTTCGATGCATGTGACTACACTCAGGGGTCGATCCAGCAAGGTTTTTCTAGGGGGTGCTGGGTGAGCAGCCGAGTGTTCCTTTATAATTCTTTAGGGGGTGGTGGGAGAGCATTCAAATAAATGACTTGAGCGCCAAAGGCGCAAGCTCCCTAGGGGGTCCAGGGGTATGCCCTCCGGAACATTCTGAAAATTAAAACCCTAGAAATGCATTGAATGGGCATTGAATGATGAGCTTCAGTATGACTTTAAAAAAGGAAAAACCTTGGAAATTGTGCCATATTTCCATACCAAAAGAGGCTATAAAGCATACCAAAAGAGGCTAGAAGCCAACTGAAAATGCCTGAAGGAAACACCACCCATCAAGGCCATAAACATCCAATTATGTCACATGAACATCTATTGTCCAGGGTTGGTAGGTTTGCTGAATAATTAGGCCAAACACCATCACACTAGGCCTTTGTGTTCTAATAGTGCACTAGTGATGATTTGGCCTAATTATTCATCTAACTTACCAACCCTGCTATTGTCAACAACAATATCATCACATAATACAGGAAGGTATTAATAGCAGAAGTGTTTTTCAGTGCGCATGAGCGATAAGCCTGACAACACAGCTGACACCAATATTATGCCATCATTCGCCATCCTGGCAAGTACAACTGGCACTTTGTACTTATCAAAACTTCCGGCTGTTTTAGCCAGGATGGCGTGGATTGGTGTGAGCAAGTTAAAATTTCAGTGGACAAAAACATCAAAGGCACCAACTCAAGATACACTTCTGCTATACCTTCCTATTGTGTGATATCATAATCACTGCTATGGAAAACGGCAAAAACTAATACAACAGACACCACTGCAGGCAATCAATAATTCACTTCAAGATGAAGAAATTTCTAAAAAACAATTAAAACATAAAATTAAAAACTTACAGCAGCAATTGCAAAGATGTAAGAAGAAGATAGGGAACATGGCACAATTTATTGACAGACTGCAAGAAGAGTTCATCATAAAATCGGTGTGATATAAAATAGTCATAAATATGTGTGAAAGTTTTGTCATCTGGTCGAAAATTATGTCATTGAAATCGTGAGAAAATAATACTATATTAAGATGTACCACTTACTTAATAATTAGTTAGTTTTATTAAAAGCAGATATTCACTTTTTATAAACTAATTCTATCACGTTTTCTTCGTGAGTCACGAGTGATTCCTTTACTGTTTTACACTTTACAGTACGGGAAGCACTGCAGCGAGTCTGTTGTGCAGAATTGAGAATGGAATACCCAGTACATGACTACATGACAGGCCTCGTTTAAACAAGTTGATCTTGTTTAAAAACCAATAGTTATCATGAAAAAAGTAAAAATAATACAATACTTATCTTGTAATCAATTATTCGTCGACTGGAGTCCACAAATATAATTGAAACTGAAGCAATTCGTCGCTGTTGGAACGTTCGACTTTTTTTATTGAAGTCACCAATATTTAAACGATGCCGCTCGATATCCTTGTAAAATAACTTTAATACACGATTGATTGTATCTTATTACCAAGAAATATATTTCGTATTATAATTGCTGTCAAAAGAATGCAAAAATCTTACATAATTGAAATAAAAAAACCCAAATTTGTCGGTCATTCAATACAAAATCAAATCGCGCCATTACCATGCGTTCTCTGCCGACCGACACTTCGTGACATAGCCACGCAAAAAACACGCATATATTGGCCGCCATCTTGGCTTCGGGCAAGTATGGGCATGTTTACTTGAGTTATCGTTCCAGGTTATTTACAGTTCACTGGTTCACCCTCTTATCCATCAATTTAGCCCGCGTATCAGTTCCCTTGGGCCTGCACGCGGGCTACCATCAATTGTGATCAAGAATCAAATAGTCGGCATCGTTAAGCATGTCAAGTTACTAGGCGTTACCATACCGAATGGCTTGAAATGGAACTTGCAAGTAAATGCCGTCTGTAAGAAGGCTTCCAAGCGTTTATGCGCCCTGCGCCTGTTGAAAAGGAACGGCCTTCCGGACTCCGTCCTCGTCAAGGTTTATTGCACGTGTGTTAGACCTATACTATATCCTTGAGTACGCATGTGAAGTATGGCACAACAACCTCCCTTGTACCTTAGTAACCAAATAGAGCAGATCCAGAAAAGAGCTATCCGAATTATCTACTCTTCCTTTACCTACAATCAAGCGATGCTCACCGCTAACGTTCCACCTTTGTACAATCGCCGAAGCACCCTTTGCGAACGATTTTTCCACAGAATGCTTGATCCAGGCCACAAATTAAACTCGCTCGTTCCAGCTCTTAGCCTTAGGGTTAACGAACACAATCTAATAGGTGTTTTAAAGTTTACAGTTTGTAGAACTGATCGCTTTCATAAGAGTTTTATCAGGAATAAGATTTTTAACTCTCAACATGTTATTACATTACTCCAGTTATACAGTACTTTATAGCTGTAAAACCATTGTAATGTCTACTTTTAATATTCTTAAATCATATGTTACTATACATATTTTTAGTTATATACTTATATAGTATCTTACAGTTATAAAACCAGTGTAATTAATGCAGTTCTAACTGCAAAATTGGTTAACAACATAAACTGGTTATTAACATAAAACAATTATCATACGAATATCTCGAAACCTGCCTTGTAAACCTCCCTTCAATTTTTAATATGTTCTTCTATCAACCATAAATCTTCAAAAAGAATTTTAGAAAAATTGACCGAAGGAAAAAAGATATTGTCGTTTGATTGTGAAATTTGACAATAAAAGTGCAAAAGATAAACGTCATGGTTGCCATGGCAACACTCACTAACACCGTTCCAATTTGTTTATATATCGACAACACAAAACTGTGAACTTTCCTGAAAATGATCATACCGCCCTGTCTTAATTAAGTGTATTTAGAAAACTATAGAGAGCCACCTTATTGGGTTAATAATGAAAATTTCAGTGGTCATTCTTAAAAGTGACGTCATCTTGGTGACTGCTTGGAGCTTTGGACTGGCACCTTTTTCTGTCCCTTGCGTGTTCGTATTAGATAATTAGTGACGTTTGACAGTAACTGTTTAAAACATGACCTGTTTTTATCTTAGAGAAACAAGCACTGGAACAAAGATATGCTGAGGAGAAGTACCGGAGCAAAAATCTTGAAATGAAGATTGAACAGGGTAAAGCTACATTAACATGCAGGGTCGAAATTTACGCTATTCCGTTATTCCGTATAGTAAAGCGCCTGACTGAATAGGAACAGTTCATGATCTCAGCATCAATTTGCATACTAGACTATACTATACAGGGTGTATAAAAAAAACTGAAAAACAGCCATTACTATCCAATTTTTGATGTATATGGTATCTTTGGGTACTTATAATGTAGAATAATGAAAAAAAATTCTCGAACTTAAATTTTGTGAACCAGGGGGGGGGGGGGTGTCTCTTCCAACAAACTAAAAATTGCTTGCGCACGAAATTTAAAACTTTAATCATATTGTGAGTTAATAGATGGATAATTGGTTGGGTTTTTAATTCTGTACAAAATTTCAGACAATTTGCTTTAGTTTAAGTCCTTCAACTATTCATTTTTTCCTAAAAAATCAGCCTTTCGCATGCTTAATTAATGCATTTACCTAATTTGCATATTGCTGTCATATGCAAATTAGGCAAAGGCATTAATTAGCATGCAAATAGCTGATTTTTTAGGAAAAATGTAAGTTTGCGTGAATAGTTAAAGGGCTTAAACTAAAGCAAATTGTCTGAAATTTTGTACAGTAATTAAAAACCCAACAAATGTTCCATCTATTAACTCAAAATACGATTAAAGCTTTTAAATTTCGTGCGCAAGCCATTTTTAGTTTGTTGGAAAAGACACCCCCCTGGTTCACAAAATTTGAGTTTGAGAATTTTTTTCATTATTCTACATTATAAGTACCCAAAGAAGCTATATATATCAAAAACTGGATACTAATAGCTGTTTTGCGAAATTGAGAGCAATTTCAAATCTGTTCACTTTTTTTATACATCCTGTAGTAGAACAAATTACGGTTGTTATCAATTTATAATATCACTAGTACGTTATTGAGGATAAATAATTTTACTGTTACAAATTTGTTCATTTTGTGGTTGAGTTTTTGCACGTGCATTATTGATTGATTCGTATTGTGCTGTATAAATAAGTATTTTTCTATGTTTCTTTTCTGATCTTTAGTACTAGGTCTTGCGGCTTACGTCACAATTGTCAGAGACACTAGCCTGTGAACAGGCTCTCGGAGACATAAAAGAATAGTGGATCTTCAGACGGAATAGGAAATTTCAAAATCTACTGACCCCTGAGTATGCTGTGACTTATTAAAGCTACTTTACTGTGAGCCCATATTAGAGCCACTTTACATCGATTACAGTTATATGGCGTGTGGATTGTTCTGTGGAGTGCCATGCTATTAAAAAACTGTATGCTACTAGCAAAATTAAAATTGGCCTCATGCATTAAGTACTTCGCACATTTCCGTAGGTCTGCGTGCTCTAAATGTACCTCTAACTCTGGTGCAAACGTTGATCACTTGATCCTACAAACAGCATGGTATTGGATGTCAAGGTTGGCACCTTATGGACATCATCTTCGAGGGAGCTAAGGGGTCTTTAGTTCAAGGTCATTTCAATATCCAGCAGAGTTCCATCTGAGGCAACCATTTCCAACTGTTTTGTTGACTCTGGGCAGTCTTTAACTAATTCATTGCCGCCACGAATGTTTTCGCGTTACTGATCTGTAAACGTTGGTTGGTCTACCTCTCCATCTATCAGTCACTCGGAATTTTGTAGGAATTCTTGGATGTATAACAGCTCGAGATAAACGGCTCATGTAATGCTGCATGCACACAACACGATGTAGGATCTCGTCTTGCATGCATGCATGCATACAGCACAATAGGTACATTATTGGCCCCGCAAAGTCCACTCAAATAACTTGGAAAGGTCGGCATCCCAAAGGAAGCATTCCAGGTGGTGGTTGCGCGAAAGCTTTAGCTTGAAACCGACGACATCCACAGCGTCGTTTAACAACTTTACGAGTTCGGGGGCCAGGGGCTGTTTACATGATCCCAGTTTGCTGGGACGAGATGAGGGCCGGGATAATTTTGACGTGTTGAAATTCCTTTCATCCCATCCCGGCAATGTCATCTTCATACTAACTAGAGTGTTCTCTGGTGAACATCTTCAAAACTCCAATACGTTTCCCACATTCAATTGGAGATTGAGTTGCAACCGATCTTCTTCTTCTACATTTATCTTGAGTTCGTTTTATTAAAAAAGGCATTACCGGAACACCTCGGAAAAACGTCTGCGCATGCGTCACCCTACACTTTCGCAAAATGCAAGCGTCGGAATAATGAACGTGACAACCTAAAAACTAGAAATAATTACAGTCTATTGACTACATGTGCAAGAAGTAGTATTACGCAAGAAAATGAACCAAAGGTGTAGCCAATTCGCCTCTTTTTATGCTATTACCTTATAATATCATGATTGCGGGTATTCCCTTTGTTCTCGCAGGGCCATTAAAAACCAATTAACAATAAATAATGGTATAAATTAAATGGTATAATTGTTTTCCATGTCTTTGTTTAGTTTTGGCGATTTCAGATATCTTCATTTATATTCATTTTTTCTAATCGTACCCGCTTTGACGTCGCATCGGGTAGGATTAGAACTAATCCTACCTGACATGACGTAAAAGCGGGTAGGATTAGAAAAAATGAATATAATGAGGTGTATTAGTTTTTAATTGCCCTACGAGAACAATGGGAATTCCCGCAATCATGATATTATTGGACAAAACGTTCTTTAACTGAACAATACAAATATGATATTTGTCGTAGGTTCATATGATCCACATTTTTCTCAATAACTTTTTTTGCGTACTGATGTATAATTTTTTGCGTTGACTATATTTAAGGGTAATGATTTACTCTACAATTTACTCGTGTGCAAATGCTTAACTATTTGATAATTTTCTTAACTTTTGTGTCTTAAGTTCGGTATTCACACGCCTCCCGATCTAAAATGATAATTTTAAATTTAAATTCGGTTTCTTTTTAGATTTTAAATGTTAGAAAACTTTCTATTAATGTCTACTCTACCCGTTTAGTGCATTTTTTTTGTTTGTTTCACTTTCCTTAAATAATTAAATAGCCATGTTTTTGTTTACAATTTGGAATTTAAATTCCTCGCCATTTTTTCTAGTATACGCGCATGCGCAGACGTTTTTCCGCGACCGGTGGTCAAATACCCTTTCACTCGTTGGTCTTGATTTGGAACGTTGAACAGGAACCTTGATAGTATGTGCACACACTCTCATGGTCTTGTTTAAGCTGAACTTTGATAGAAGATCGACCAAGCTATCATCATTCACTTTAACAGGAGGCGAAAGGTTCCCTGAAAATCTTTGCTTCTGCATCACTTTTTCATGTAGGCATTCTGGCTCATTCCACCAAAGTATGTCGTCTTTCGCCTCTGCCGCCAAGGTGGTCTAGATTTTCTTGCGTATGCACATGGCGCCACTGGATCTGAGGGTAAGATTGAATCACACCCGTCTGTCCCTCTGATCCTGTGGAGTGCGATGGTGCTATCCAACCAGCATGTGAAATTGTCATAGTGAATCCTTCAAAGGTTCTTGCATATTACTCACGAGATTAGTAGCCATATGGGCTGACACGAGTTCACGTATTGACTCGATGCTCCACTACGCTGGGAAGAGTCGCTCCCACTGTGACAATTTCTTCATCTGCTCAGTTGGCGAAGGAACGTCCCATGAAACCTTTCACTTACACCTCTTGATAAATGAATTTTCCTTACAGAATTTACGGCGATGCAAACCCCAGAGGACCGTATGTTTTGGCCGGTTTTCGTAATGCTGCTCGTACTGTAAGTGGTTGGGTCCGATGTGTCGTTTTCTCCAGGCCAAGAATACACGAGTCTCCTTCACCAAACGTCCCTAACTACTGCTTGGCAAACGATTGCATTGGAATGCCATTTATATAGTGTGAAACAGGTATCTTGGAATATCACGGTCGCTTCTTGCTTTAACTGCTTCACTCCTTACAGTATTGCTTTCCCGCATAGATACTCGTAGGAATATCTGCAACTAGACGGGCTTCCTGTGATGCTAGATACTGTTCAATTACCCCTCCCAACAGGAAGCGCGACGCCGCAAAGCCAAACAGCGCATTGGTAAATTTCAACGTTGAATGTTTGAATGTTCGTGGGGCGCCCAGTGGAATCTGAATGCATGTCGCTCAACTTCCTTGATGCGCACGTGTAAAACGTCTGCTTTAGTCTCCCGTCAGCATATTTGAGAGCCGGTTTTGAAGAGGTGGTCCTGCATTCAAGCATTCATTCAGTCTAGTAGCTTCTGGATGCGACAAGCCGACGCGTTATACACGATTCGCACTTTTGTAGATTCTGCTAAATTGCTAATACACCTCTAACAACAGGTTTGTGTGCATGGTATGTAGAATTCAACGCCATCTGGCTGATTATTGTCTGTTTTGACGATGCCGTCTTCCTTGTCGATAATCTCTGCTAATACACCTCTGACAACAGGTTTGTGTGGTATGTAGAATTCAACACCATCTGGCTGATTATTGTCTGTTTCGACGATGCCGTCTTCCTTCTTGATAATCTCTGCTAATACACCTCTAACAACAGGTTTGTGTGGTATGTAGAATTCAACACCATCTGGCTGATTATTGTCTGTTTCGACGATGCCGTCTTCCTTCTCGATAATCTCTGTCAGCAGTTTGTTGCAGCCACTTATTTCGATTGTTTGGAAGAGGAGGGTGGGTCCCCTCAATCTCTTTCCTCGCCCGTTGCTAACGAAACTCAGCATACATTACAATATACCTCTCGTTAATCATATCCGGTGAGTCAGTCAATCCTAAGACGTCAGGTGGACAGAGTTCCTCGTAATCACTCTGGCTTGCTTGTGTCAGTGACAACGCAGTATAATCAATCTCTTTTCCTTGAGCAATGATAGTCCAACCGAACCGAGTTTTATCCGCCACTGGCTCACAGATATTACCAACGACACCGCTCACTATACGCTCCTAAGTTCATATGTGGACTGGTAGGTTTGGTATAGTGTCGTTGTCAGCCGTTTGAGCACTTTTTAAGTGTTCAAGAGTTGTCTGTAGTTCGGATGTCCTAACACAAGAAGATCTCCTTTATCAACTCTTGTGACATTAACATCCATGCTAAATTTCCCATCCAGAGCTTGCACTGAAGCTAATGATTAGTAATGAAGCATATGAGTTATACGTGCTCCAGTCTGAGAGTGCTCTACATTTCGCATCGTCAACTTTCACTATCACAACAGGATATGCATCTTCATTGTTTTCTGTTGCAGAAAGATATACATTTTGCTTATTACATCTGGAAGTATGGTGCTTGAGGTTGCAATTTTGCCAGGTTGTGTCACTTTTACACTCTGCTGCACGATGCTTGCCACCTAAAACGCTTCTTCATTGTCATAAGGTTTTGTAGAACTCATGTACTTCGTTAGATTGTGCGTCACTTTTGACTGGTAATCCCGTGATATTCTGTACGGGTATATTAATAACCTCACTCGTTTTCCCGTACTCGCTTTTGAGAATATTCTTTGCTCTTCCACTCCCCTTATCGAGCTAAAATAGAATAATATCTCATCGGAGGTGTCATTTGAAGCGCGTTAAAAGCGTATCATGCGAGTTGCGTATATAAAAACTAATAATTTATGTTATACTGATTTTTTAGAAAGAGTAAAATTTTGCCAGAGTCGAGACAGAAATTCCAAAATGCAAGGTAGATTGGTGATACTATGTATGTATATATAAATATACCGTATACACATTACGTTTCGACTTTATTGTCTTCATCAAATATAATCCTACTTTACAGGCGAACCCAATTTATACCCTCCCAATTTTGCTAATTATGCATAATATTTTGCTAATTATGCATAATTATGCTAATTTGCTAATTATGCATATTATGCATAATTAGCAAAATTGGGAGGGTATAAATTGGGTCGCCTGTAAAGCTACGAACCATTATATCATGCTAATTAGGATGAACAATTATATAATGCCACATGTGTTTTATCAGATATAAAGTCACTCCACGTGACATATTATGGCTGACATGATTTGCCACAAGGTTTATGAATTATTAATGAGTATTTTAAATATATATATATATCAAAACTTTTACGTTTCGGCCTCTAAATTCTTAATGTCCCCAAAACTGGTAGACTGTTCCATGAATTTGTCCCGTACTTTCTGACCATGTAAATGAGTTCAGTATTTGTCATTCATCGAGATTGGTAATTCCTGCAGATCAGAGAGAGTACCAATTCGGATTAAAAAGTTCATTAATGTTCGCGGGCGCGCGGCGATGTATACATCTCACCTGATCTCACTAATCTCAAAAATATGGCGGACAGTCGATCGGGAGTGCAATGACGGAGATTCAAAAACATATGAGAAAATAATTTGAATTAGAAAGGAGCACTGAGCAATTTTTCGTTCATTTGCCGTTTAACTGTTAAAGAACTCGGGAAATTAGGGGGCAATTTATTCCTCTCGGAATTAGCGGAAGGCCTTTGGAGGAGGTAGCGCACTACTGTATATATAGTTGCTTTGTGAGACCCTGAAATGCAGCAATGTAAATAAATAAATAAATAAAAATAAGCTGTATATTTTTCTAGAGACAGTAAAACTTGCTCAACAGAAGGTTGGACAAACTGACAGTCAAGCTGAAAGGTTCACCGTTTTAAATTTATGAAACCAATTTTTTTTCAACATTTTTTACCCGTAAAAAAGATATTCTCACAGCAGTCTGATGTTAGCCGCTATCATGTATCTTGAGAAGTGAGAATTAAGATGAGATTGTCTTTTCTACTGTATAAGCCCATTTTTACTTGATAATGACGTGTGTTAACGTCGAAACGTCGTCGGTTTTTTAAAACTTTTTAAATACTTTTTATTACATTCTGAAATGATTTTCAGAAACATTTTAGCGCAACATTTTATTGTGAAAGCCCATTTTGCCTGGCAAAATTATTTAGGGCGTTTCAGTGTAGACTACTAGAGTATATACATACCGTTTGGCTGACTAATATTCCTATTTATAATTTGTTCTGTTTATAATGTAAAGGTTAAATGAAATAAATGATGCGAAACAAAAGGTCATTGCTGATTTGAATGAGAAAATTAAACAGGAAACTGACAAGCAAGAAAATGACGTGTGAGTATATGTATGTTGTTGTTATACAGGGTGTCTAAAAAAACGCTATGGAATTGAAATTCACAACAGGCATGTCGTGCATCATAAACGTGGCTAAACAATTACATTTTTACATACGACGAAAGAACAGTTATTTAGCTTTTCAATGATACTCTTTTTAAATCGTAACGATGAGAAATGGCCACAAATACTCTTAAAAATTGCCTGTCGAAATCACATTCTTCCACCGTTGGGAATTGCATGGAAAACGAAACATATAAAATGAGCTCAATTCGTCAATCTTCGTCTTAGTGAGACAATACTGTAACTCAGTATAAGAACGTCCATTAAACATGGTTCAATTAACCCTTGAACAGAGAACATTCGTAATCAAAACCTTTTACGAAACAAATAGCTTGCAGCAGGCTCGCGTTGCTTTTGGATTGACTAACTTTGCATAATTATGATGTATTTTCAATTCCCGCGGCCAACGGTGGAAGAATGTGATTTCGACCGGCAATTTTTATTTGACGAGTATGTGGCCATTTCTAAAGTACTTCCTCCTACATCTATTGAGAACGATTTGCGACCGATTTCATTGACCTCGCAAATTTCCAAAATTATGGAAAGATTCACAATTAACTCGTTGATGCCTCAAGTAATTGACCAACTTGACCCTAAGCAATTCGCACTTCCAAATAAATCAACTACCCATGCCCTGGTGTACCTTCTCCATCAAATTCTTGCTGCCTTAGACAGTGGTCATAACTCCATCAGATTGTTTTTCGCCGATTTCAGGAAGGGCTTTGATTTAGTGGACCATAGCGTTATTATAAACGAACTTGGAAATCTTAATGTTCACCCTGTCCTTACTCGCTGGATTAAAGCGTTTTTGACCAACCGTCAACAATGTGTCAAAGTGGATTGCCATGAATCCTTATGGAAAACCACCAACGGAGGTTTACCCCAGGGAACATGTCTGGGCCCTCTTCTATTTGCTATCTTGGTTAACCCATTATTAAAGGACTGGAATGGTCGCCTAAAATTTGTTGATGATACAACAGCACTGGAAGTAGTCCAGTGCTCTCCCAGTCTTTAGTTGTTCAAGAAATCTCCAACTTCTCATCCGCTCGTGGAATGGAGCTTAGCCCCAAAAAATGCAAAGAAATGATTATAAATTTCCTTCAATACCGAATTCCATGTGATCAATCAATGTTCATTAATAGACAATGCGTTGAAAGAGTACAGAGCTTTAAGATCTTGGGTGTCTATCTATCAGACGATCTTACCTGGAATACCCATGTTGACCATATCTTGAAGAAAGCTAACTCCCGACTCTTTGCCCTCTGTTTATTGAAGAAAGCAGGCCTGGGTCACACTTATCTTATAACCATCTACTGCTCAGTTATTCGCTCCATACTCGAATACGCATCTCCAGTATGGGCAGCTCTTCCTGACTACCTATCCTCTATCCTCATATATATATATATATATATATATATATATATATATATATATATATATATATATATATATATATATATATATATATATATATATATATATAACTAATTCAAAAAAGGTTGTCCTTTGCAAACCTTAAAACCTTAAACTCTAAGCGCGCAAAGCGTAATGGGAGCACTATTTAAGCAGTTTAGAAAGCATACATGGAGCCCATTTCTTAGAGACATGGTAAATATGTGCCTGCGAAAACATTTCACTCACAAACAGCTGCAATATTCAGCTACAAAGCTAGAAATCAGTACTCCCATTATCCTTTGCGCGCTTAGAGTTTAAGGTTTAAGGTTTAGAGTTTAAGGTTTGCAAAGAACAACCTTTTTTTGAATTAGCTATATATATATATATATATATATATATATATATATATATATATATATATATATATATATATATATATATATATATATATATATATATATATATATATATGTACTATTTAAAGCACGCGTAGGAGTGTTTTATCACATATAAAACAAGACGCGTAGCGGAGTGTTTTATATGTGATAAAACACGACTACAAGTGCTTTAAATTGCTTCAAAAACGACTCATCTTATACAAGTTGATTGGCGAAGTAATTTTTAAAATAAACTTTGTCTAAACCGAGAAAACCAAAGCTAAAGTTTATGTAAATTAACATGATTTTTTATCACATATAAAACCACGACACGCTTATGATTTTTCTTTGTGTTTTCCTCCTGAATTATTAATGAGTTTTTGATATATACATATATCTTTGAGTTTTTGATATATATATATATAAAAATATATATAGCCATCTTTGGCTCCAAGACGTGAGCCAGCCACTAACTAGTTCACTGGTCAATGAGGACAATTTAAGCTATGATGGGTACTTAATTATTTCACAGTTATTGGCCAGAAGCTGTTGTGATTCCTTCTTTATGACAGCATTTAATCAAAATTGACAAAATAATGTTTCGCATGATCATCGAATTTGGGAATTGGGACAAGCATTAAACTTGCCTTTACCAAGACGTTTCTGACCAAGACTAATGACGTTGGGTATTAAGGCCACCGATTTTTGGTTTAGATAGCTACTTGCTTGTTAAAACGAAAAACAGTCAATGGCATGATATGTGCATGGGCTCATTGTTCCCGATCCTCTGTACTGGTTTCGATAAATACGTCAAACGATTAATCGGCCGACTACAATCGTAGTGTGTGCGTGATATGGACATGAAACAAATTTATTTAATTCATTTCACTATAGTTATGTTACTAGCCTAGTCTAGAAGGTTTTTCAAGTATCCAACCAAAGATATTCTATTTTTCCAGAACCGAGTTTCAGTTAAAATTGTCAGAGCTTACTCAATTTTTCAGAGATGCAAAAAGAGCATATGTAAGTACTTTGTGATTCTACTGTACAATGCTAAGCATATTCTTCAAATATAAGTAGTACCTACTGTAGTACGCAGTATTTAGAGAATTACAATAGAATTACTATACATCAGAATTTCCCTTCATTTACAATTTTATTTAATCATTCTAAAGTTTAAATTATTGTTTGGTAAACTTCAATTTTTTATGTGGAGTGTTGTCACATAAAGTGTCACTATCATGCAAGGGTTTGTTTGTTGACTTCACTGTCTTCACTTCTCATCAGATTTATATACATGTATATTATAATTATAAGGAGTTACTATCGTAGTCTAGGAGTTACTATCTCAAGGGATGTGCTGCGTCAAACTCGAGGCTCTCAATTTATAAGATTGTGTAAAAACTGAGCACATATTGGCCTATTTAGTATTGTTTATAAATCGCTGATACAAACGCGTCTCCGCAGACGTTTTTATTGTTTCAACACTCATAACACCATTTCTTTCACTTTGGATCATGAGGCTAAACATGATCGCGCAAAAGACTGGACACGAGTGAAATATAATCTGGAAAAACACAAGCGATTGAATCACATGCAAGCAGTGACAAGAATAGTGTCAGTGTGCTGGCGCTGCGCTCGGCAGCAATAATGACTACATGCCCATTTGTACAGACAGAGATGAATATATAGAAAACCTTTATTTGGATTTACTATTCATCCTAGTGGCGGACAAAAGTCTGGTACCAAATATCACAATCCACAAGCATTGTTTAGGAGCAAGTGGCAAGTGGCAAGCATGCAATCACACCCATATAACGTAATTGTCATATTAAGTAATGAATATTAAATAAAACTTAAGCTAAAGTTACCAGTATAGCCAACAATATATGATTCTGTACAATGCATGTCAGTGATGGTACAACATACGCATTTTATACAATCTGCTTTGTTCTGTGTAGGATTCCTTATAGGGCTCTACTGATAAAATATTTTAAACAACCAGAATTAATACATGATTAATTGATTATCGTAGAAACAGTATCTAATGTCAGTCAAATGGCACAACTCAAGACTCAAGATTCATTTCATCAAGTGATCCATGTTCCGAAAGATTCACATAACTTAGAGCCTTAAACAGTCACTGAAACTCCTTTGGCATACATGTTTAAAATTTTGCCTCCCCCCCCCCCAATATTTCGTGAAGTGCCCGCCACTGGGTCATCCTGTAGCTTATGTACACAATACGTACCTATTCTAGGCGAAAGATAACTTAACGAAGGAAACTAAAGAATGGAAGGAAAACATGGATTCTGTAATGAATGAAGGTACAACGGATCGACCGTCTGACTGACTAGTCGATTGACTCACTGACACTTATTTTTTAGGATTGCCGACTATTCTCACACTCATCAATTAAATAATTTTGTAGCAGAAACAAAGAACATTGAACTTGAAGATGTGACCAAAGCTTTTGAAAATCTTTCAGTAGACACAAATAAAATTAAAGGTATAATATATGGTACAGTATATCATGTCTTAATGCACTTTGATATATTACTTCGAACAGTTGTCCTGTCGCTTAGTCTGAGGTTGTTATGCTTTATGGAAGTTTAATTAACACTCTGGTGTTCTTCATAGAACTTGTGGGCGAGAAAATGGGACACAAGGGATTGACTTACAAAGAATTGAAAGCTGCAATGTAAGTGAGAAAACAAATGTGCATGTCAGAACAAGTGGGAAAATTGTCCTCGCTGACCAAATTCTATCGCGGGCGCCTTTTTGCCAACTAATTTTGTCGAAAACAACGAAAATACCGATTTCGCTGAACTGTCTCTCGTACTGCATGCAGTGGAGTAAAAAGAAAAGCAGATTTTTAAAGTTTAATTTTGCACTTGACATAGTGTATTACGTCTATGGTTATTAAGGTTATTAATAGGCTTTGTTTATCTTATTAAGCTAAAAACGTATTTTTTTAATAACTTTTAGTGATCAATTGACACGTAAACAGGAACAGCTTCACAAATTTTTGAAATGGCTTGAATCTTGCGAGAGTGACGCGAAAGCAGAGTAAGTTTGAACAGCTTTCTCATACGCTATAGCTAACATGAATTCACTGATAAAAATCGCAAAGAATAGGAAATTTTAGTCATGTTTAAAAGGTAAAATATTTTAATATAAAATGCATGTCAGTTGGTTATCAATTAAATTAAGATAGGTAATCCCTTTCATCTATGTAGTTTTCAATTAACGTTCTATATAGAGATATCGGAGAAGTTTAGTTTCGTGAAAATGTTAAATGCTTCATCATGTGTTAATAAGAGGCTATCGGGGAAATCTTATATAGTAAATGTTTTGTTTCAACTCCTGGGAACAATAAAGTTGACATTTAAATGGTGTACTGTAGACCTATCGAGTAAACAAATAGTTCATGAACAAATACCACCGGCAGACTACAGTATATGTGTGCAATGATATATGTTTATGTTCAACAATTTACTTATGTTCAACAACAACATAATTTGTGTTCTTAGAATCCAAGCGTATAACAAAAGATGTCTTACTGCTGAACAGGAACGTGGAAATAGCGTGGTAAGTACATTCAACAAGTATCATGCACCGCTGCTGAAAAATTAACCAGTTAACCAATGCAATTTTTACTGCAACCCCCCATGAAACTGACACAGTTTCAGTGACATATAAGAGCCATGTTGTGTTAAAAAGTATTCGCAGGGGAATTGTGAGCATGGCCCACGTTCAACTTCGACCTTTTCTTTTCTTAACATACCAAAGAGGCAACATAGACCACCTGAAACTCCACGGGCGTTGCTCACAGATTTTCTGTGGATACTTTTCTATATATCATGCTCTATGCAGCCTAGACCTGGGCCTTATTTTTAATATTTTGGCAGCACTTTTTCACACGAGAAGAATGAGACCAAGGCGATTTGGGGTTAGAAATTGTGTAAGTTGTAAGATACTGCAAAAATAGCCTTGTGTTACATAGCCTTAATTTATTTTGTCCAAGGTGGAAACTGAAATGGCGGACGTTATTGTAAGAGATATAACTCCTGCACAAATATATCAAAGTACTCGGGCAGCAGGAGAGGGTCAACGTTTTCCTAACGGTAAGTTGAAGTTCTCAATGCTGTTCCTCTAGTCCTATAGGGGCACAACAAGATTTTTGCACCATCACGGCCTAATTCATTTTGCATATTTAGTGCATGCGATTGTTCACTTCGCAGCACGCAGGGGCGCGAATATATAAGCACATATATAAAAACAAATGCCTTGCTCCATTGAGATTGTGAATTCAATTCCCACTCCGTTTTCAGACCAGCCCTTCAATTTCATTTTCCCCGCGAAAATACACATGCTTATATCGCTATAGGACGATCGGATAACTGCGAAGCAGGGCGCTTATATGTAAGCGCCCTACTTCGCAGTTATCGGATCGTTCTATCCACCTTGCTTCATAGTTATCCGACTGTTCATAATGCATAAAAGCGCGAGAGAAGAAACGCAAAACATTTTCTTGGCTTCGCTGTGACAAGCAACAAAATCACATCATGGATCAACAAAATCATCATCCAAAACAATATCCATGGAAGAACTTTTCAGTTGCATGGATCGTTGAGATTGCTTACCAAATATTCAGTAAAGTGAATCAGCACGCCAGCTATCAAATTGATTCAAATAGCCAATGTCCGAGTAACTGAACTACCATTTAATACACATTAAAATACATGTTTAGTGCCGCAACCTAACACTGTCGCGGTTTGGTTGCGGTTCGATTGCGATTTAGTGGCTGGTAAGGCTGTGTTTCGGTTGCGCTTGTCTATCCAAGGTAATGTGATTACTAACCACATATTAAGCACGATTTTTGTTACACCAAATTTCTTTCTCTGCCGTACCATTGGCCTAGCAGGGAACGGGGTGGGATGCAATAACCCACCCGCAATAACTCTGAAAGCTTTGAATAATAGATGTGTAACAATGATTTTTCAACAATGAAAGCATTGGCCATGGTATAGGCTGTAAATTAAGCTATGTATTGCATAAAATTTAAGGAAAAATATTAAAGAACTGAAATTTCCAGGTGGTAATATATTGGCAAGCAATTTGTCCCCCCCCCCCCTCTCCCACTGAGCGGCACTGTATAACATGCTGTACATAATTATATTGTGTAGGGGAGCAGCCATCACGAAATGAACATTGTAATATACCTGCAAATTACCCTGTCCAGCAAAATTCCAGCCAACTTGCAAACAATGTTGATCAGGGGTTAAGAAATCATCACCATGTCCCAATCCAGAATGCTGCACCAGTTACTCTTGCAGCTTCAGGTCATTTCCCTGAACGTGTGAACGACGTCGTTGATCAAGAGGCAAGAAATCGTCACACTGTTCCAAATCAGAATACTGTACCAGACACTCGTGCAGCTTCAGGTTATTTTCCTGAACGTGTGAACAACGTCGTTGATCAAGAGGCAAGAAATAATCGCACTGTTTCAAATCAGAATACTGTACCAGACACTCGTACAGCGCCAGCTCAGATTCCTGAACGTGCGAACGTTGGTCAAGGGTCACGAAATCATCACGCTGTCCCAAACACCCCAGCAGCCTCTCGTACAGTGCCAGGTCATATTGCTGCAGTTAATTCTCCTTCTTTCTTCATTTCTTTGCCATTTGGTCGCACCCGTTAATGGTTAGTTACACATTTGTACAATTGAATGGTCAGTTTTTGAATCTTTACGTCATTGCATTTGTTGCGGTGGCTTGTTTAACAAGCAATACATGTAAAGGTAAATTATATATTTGTTACATAATTTAATTTGCACAGAACGTTTTAAGTTTAAATTTTCCAAAGTTAATTAATTGTTGATTCAACATTTATTAATTGTTGATGTTATTTAAAGTATTTAAAAGTTACTTGTTGAAATTATATCCTTACCAAATTTTTAGTGTAATCGTTAATTCATGTATATTGATATGTATATCTTAAACGTTGGGATCCATTGAAGTGGTATTATATACAATAAGCTGTCATGGTTTGTGTCTGAACTACAGTATAGCATGTTCTGCAGGCATCCCAATAAGTGTTACATGTGTTACGAATCTTACGATGTCTGCGGAAAATGTCTGCTTTTAATTTTTAGGGTAGTTCACACACAAATACGTGTTGATATGTATGTCTTTGGTTATCATCTGACCAATGTCGTCGTCCTGTGTCTTTTTGGTGTACATTATCGGTCTGCTGTTGTACACACCAGGTTCGGAGCAGACGATGTTGTAGCAGAATCCTGACGACTTGTGCTCTTGGTATCTCATTGTGTACTGAGTGCTCTTGTCACGGTCTTCCTCTGCCAACCTCTCAGTGAAGCACTCAAAGTCAGCGTACACGACGAACGGGATCTTCATTGACTTGTGATTGTTCCTAAACATTGTAAAGGTACCTTCCCCAGGAAGTACCTGTTTGACCGCCTCGTTGTTGGCGCAGTACTCCATGTGTGTCTCACGTGACTCTTCCGAGTGGAAACCGTTCATACAGTGGTCACAGAAGTACCTTTTACCCTTGTGCTTACTTGTCTGACTGGCAAACAACTTGCTCTTGTCGGCGATCAGACAGTAGTGCTGTTTCTCTTCGTCGTCGATGATCAGAAGATTTACTACCTCACCCCCTCTTCTCCTTGTTATCCTTATGGGGTAGACTCCTCTCTTCTTTCCCTCCTTCTTGTCATGTTCTTCGTAACCAAAGATGTTTATACCTACACCGTTCATGTCTTCGAAGACCTCAATGTTCTTGTCATTGACAGCCACTGGGAACCTTAGCATCGACCAGTCGAGTTTTTCAGCCTGTTTCCTTAGTACTCTCGTGACTCTGCTCTGGTCCTTTTTCACTTTGTTCAGTCCTCTGGTCACTGACCACTTGAAGCATTCGTTGTCGTTGTTCTTCATGTTGACTATTACCCTCTTGCCTTTCAGTCCCTCCGGTAACGGAATGAACGATGACCCACTTAGTGGTTCGAACTGTATGACATGAATGGTCAGACGTTCCACTCTTCTAAGGACCCATCCACTGCCGTTCCTTTGGTACTCTATAAAGTTCCTCAGCATCTCGCCAACGACGGTGTCGTACAGGTCGTCGACGTTGTCACAGACGAGCTTTGTCTTTGCCTTGAACGATGACGTGCTCTCTGTGGAGTCACCGTCGTCAGGGTTTCTCCTTTCCATCACACACTCCACTTCTGTGTGCACTTTGACGTTATCCGACTTCTCTAGTAACTCTACGACTGGCTTTCTTACTCTCTCCAGGAACGTCTTCATGTCAACAACACCTTCCTCTGCCTCCACTGTGTACTTTGTCACAAAATTCTTACAGTAAGTGCTGATCTGGTCTCCTTCACTGTCTGGGTTGTCTCTGTCCTTTCCTGTCGTTGCTGTTGCTCCGCCGGTTCTTGTCGTCGCCGTGGTCGTTGCCACTGTCGTCGCTCCTCCGGTTCCTGTCGTTGCTTCCGCTTCGCCGGTTGCTCTGTATTACCGCTGTACAGTCCTATGACTGTGTCTTACATTGTTGTCCAGGCGTCGCTCACTGGTTTTCTGACACACTCAGGAACGTGATCGACCAACCACCTCCGCCACTACGCAAGTCTCTCTTTTTACCATGGTCTTGGTCGTTGTCTTGGTCTCTTGTATTTTTGTTGGTGTCATCACTGGTGTTTTGTCGTCGGCAATGGTGTGCACACTCTGTGCGACCTTTTCCTCTATAAAGTTCCTCAGTGCTTCTTCCTTAGTGCAGTCCAGCCTTTCAGTCCTCGTGACCTGGCCAAGTCTCTCAACTCGCGTACCTTTAGTCTTGTGAGGTCCATTTGTCTTATACCTATGACCCTTGTTCTTTAGATAGATATTTCATTTGTCCGCCCGAGGGTCCTCCTCACCTCCCTCTCCACCTTCTTGATGGTGACTGCTGTCAGTTCACTTACCCTCTTTGGTCTCGATACATTCGTTGTCGCTCAGTCCTCTTCTTCAAAAGGTACAGCACCAGCCTGCAGCCTACAGCCAGACTCTGCGAACGCGCCTTGTTCAGAACCGACGACCGATTGTGTGTCAAGTGTCTGAGTCTGACCAACGAGTCGAAATCCTTCTCACTAAGACCAAGGTGTCTGACTAGTCTCTGTGTGTAGACAAAGTGGGTCAAGTTCTTGTCGAAGAGAGTCACTCTGTCAGGGTTGTTCACACCCATGTATTTTATACCAAAGTACCCATGACGACTAGATATCCTAAAGTCAGTGAGCAGTGACTTGTAGTCCTGAGGGATTCCCAACATCCTATAGGCGTAGTAAAAGCATGCAAAGATTATCGACCTGCGTTTCCTTCCTCGGTAAAAACTACCACCCGTAAACTGCTGGTACAAGCTGTCCGCCTTGGCGGCAACAATGTCCGCAAAGTTCAGACCCCTGACGTCGTTCCGGATGCCCCTTTCGACCTGTCTTCGGTATGACACACGGGTTTCGTCACCAAATCTTCGCTCATGACTTGTGGTCTTGCACAGCTCTTCTCCATAGTCTAAGCAGGTCATAAAGCCCTTGTCGTCCACTGTTTGTGTGTGCTGACATTCGTCAACACCCATCGACACGTCGTCTACACACCTCACCCTTCGCTGTCGCTCAGTGCTTTCCTTGTACTCCTGCAGAACCTTTTGGAACAGTGTCAAGTCGTTGTCCATTTTATACACCTGGTCATCCTCTTAAATCCACTTGGTCTATGACGACACCGACTCAGTAGTCAAAGTATGATGGCAAGAACAATGTTCAGTGCAATGCAGAGGCCGAACTGAAGCGTCACAACCTGGCTGTTGAACAACTGGCAAAGGAGGCATGGTCGGAGAACGAGATCAGGCAGAAGGATGACATTGAAAAGTACAGGCAGAGGCTCTCCGACACCAACCATGACATCAACAGTGTTGAATGCAGCACTTGACCAACTAAGTAAGATTCAGTCAATCACGTTTGATCAGAGGAGGTTCACCACCCCGCCAAAATTGGACGACTCCTAAAGCCCAGTGCAGAGGCTGTCAGGTACGGCAAGATGTCAGTGATAACAGCAGATCTTGGTGGTGGTTATCTTGTCGCAAAGTACGTCTTATAGTGGTCTAAGAAGGGATGACCAATGAGGAAAATGTCAGAGGCCAAGCTAGAACCTCAAGTTGTTGACAGTAAGGAAGCACCCAAGAAGATCACAAAGGTCAAGGATCCGAAAAAGGTGGAGGGAGGAAGGGAGTTGGCCAAGATATCCAAGGCGGCAAAGGAAGCAAAGGCCTGCAAGAGGTTGGAGGAAGAGCAGGCCCTTAGGAATGCTGAGGACAGCGTTTTTGACCACTCGAGTCTTGGTGTGACGCTCGGTGTCGTTGGTCTAGCAGTGGCGGCAGTGCCAGTCCACTACGCCAGGAAGAGCTTGGTCGTTGAGGAGAGGGAGTTGGAACATCATCCGGTTGTCATTGTTGACCAACCGTCGACTACCGTTGACAAACCGACACCAAAGAAGAACAGGTCCAACCTATCTACCTCTGACTAGTCTAAAGACTCTCGTCCACTCACCAAAACAGAATGACTACGATGGACCGAAAGAAACAGGGCAACGAGGCCTATGATGCAGCACTCTACACCCTGGGTGCCTTTGGTATCTTCATGGCGACCAAGAAGGTTTTCAAGGAGGATCTCGATGTACCGAACAGGTTGAAGGACGTCGGCAAGTTGTCGGCGGCGGTTTTTGGTGGGTTTCTGGAAGGGATGGGTTTCGACTGACCCGTCTGGGACAGACAAGAAGACCTAGTACGACCAGTGGTTTTTGTTTTCCCTCGACAAACAAAAGCGGTGACCTAACGACCTATTTTTTTCACACATACCCTTATGCGTTTTTCGCATTGTCGTCTTGTGTTGAACTTGGACTTACTTACACTCATGCCAAATGTGTGTTATTGACTTGTCAACGTTATGGTTATGACCATGTCTGAGCTTTGAGTGAAGACGTATACCAGTTCCGCTACCGTCAGTGTAACCACAGTGTGGACATTCATATTGGGTATGTTAGGACATTGTGGACAACGTAAGTTTCGGCATTGTTTACCGACGGTTTCTATGTCACGATCCTTTTCTCAATTCCCCAAAACGGTCTAAGGGACTGGTCATAAAGTAACTGCCAGGATGGGCTGGAGGTAAATCACAAATTTTGCCAATAAGTTCGGTGACCCATCTTAGGATGTAGATAAAAATTTCAAAGCCCATCTAATCTTACAAAAAATGTTTCATGATCCACCCAATCTAAATTGGGAAAATACACTTTTATAATAAAAAAAAACTTTGCAGGTATGAACATTGTAAATATACACGGCACTGTATTGACATACATAATTCCACCAAGCTTGACCAACACATTGATACTGAACTGCTCTCCAGTTGGTTGTATTTGCTGTGATTCGACCACTTTTTGTTGTTGTATAAACAAAGGACTGGCTTCAATAGCATCATTTGCATTTAATAATTTAGATAGTTTTGTTTACTTTTATTATTAATATCTTTATTTTTTGAAGTAGACATGCATGGGTTTTTGTTTGGTGGCCCAACCGTGGCATACAAAAAAATTGGCGGCCCATCGAAACTGCCCAAAGATTTTCCATGGCCCATCCCAAATCACTCCAGCCCACCCTAGCAGTTACTTTATGACCGGTCCCTAAGGACCTCACCTCATCAGTCAAACAGATATGATGGCAAAGTTAACCCAACCGATAGACCTGGAGTACACCACAGTGGTATTCTCAGAACCCAAGACCGGAACACTGAAAGACAAGCCAGATGTAAAGTACGTACGGGTACAGGTGTCAGTGCTCAACGACGACGGAACAACATGCCCGCTCATCGTGCCAACAGATCAGTCCTTTTCGTACGGCATACAAGAGTGCAGGTTCCCCAACAGCGACAAGGTCAATGGTTACAGCCTTCCAATCGTAATGTACGACCGCAACGACGACGGTGTCTACACACCGGCGACACATCAAGACAACTTTGTCATGGCGTTCCACTCGGTTGTCCAACAGGCCAAGGACCACTTGATCAACTCAGGGTTGTTAAAGCCACACAAATTGACCAAACTAGGCAACTGTATGTTTGGCCCTGACGGTTCAACATCCACTATAGGCAGCCATGAACCCCAACGTTTCTCTCCGCCTCCCCCTTCCGGCCGGTGGTGGCGCGCTTCGCACGAGTGACAAGAATTTTGCTCAAACTGGACAACTCTGAGAAAGGGTCCTATCTCCTCTTCTTACCCCTTTGGTACTCGAGGTGCATCACAACCATTGCAGCGCGATCACAAGGTAAATGTTCTGTGCCATCCAACTTAGCACAGCTGCACCGCCTTTCAGGAGAGTCAGGACAATCTTCCCTACTACAGCCGCTAGTGAACCAAGGGACTTTAGGTACTCTGCCAACTTTTTCCCAAAGGACTTTGCTGACTATGCTCTCTTGGCAAGTGCTGTCCGACCGGCGACGATAAGGGTCGTAATGATGCCAGCTAGTGACACACCCATTGCAGAGAGTCCTACTAGGTTCTCTCTGAACCACCTCTTGACACTCTCCAGTCTGGTGATGTCCTCTTCCTGTGCGTCTCTGATACCCTCTAGTCCACGCTGTTCCAGAACTAGGTCTCTCGCCTGTCTAAGTGAGGCAACTCGTTCACTAATGTCGATAAACCTTTCTGGGTCTTCCTCTCCGTCCATCTCTGCTGCTGTTTCTTGCATCAGGGTGTCAAAGTGGTCGGCTTGTATCCTCGGGGACTCGTCCCTTGTGTCTCCCAGAACGTCGATGTTTGGAGTAAGGCTTCCCATTAGCTATCTGTTCTCCTGGGGTGTTAGTCCTGGAGACTCGTGGTGGTGTTGTGTCGATCACGGGCATGGTTACTGACGTTTCGTCTACAGCTCTGAACTCTGCAATGACCATTCGATGAACTCTGTAAACTGTTCAACTGCTGACCTGTTGGTCGTGCTGTGTTGATAAGTGTGTCCACTCGGGTTGCTTGTTAGGACTACCCTTGGTTTTAGGAGCTTTTGGGTTGACCCCCGCTCTCTGAAAAGAATGTTGCCCTTGGGACTAATGGTGATACGATTGCGTAGGTCAATGGCAGCGTCTGTCTTCATGTTGACGTGTGTCAGTCCATACTCCTTTCTTATAAACTTGTTGACGACCGTGATCGCCTCCATGTCGGTGTTGCAGTTCTCCATGCAGTCATAGTTTATTAGTCTTCCGAATGCCTCTGTCTTGTCTCCCTGTCGACGTTGTCCATTTCGATCTCCTCAGCCATACTTTGCTTAGTCTGACAACTGTCTTAGACCGCTAGTCCAGCTAGGAATCCAACTGTTCTCAGAGTCAGGTACGCATACCATTTCACCAGGGAAATACTCTCTTCTTTGACCAACCTTTGACCTTCTTCGTCCTCAGCACTTTCTCAACACGGTGCACTTTGTCCCTTGGCTCACTCACCAGCAACAACGCCTCCTTATAGAACGTTCCCTGTAGGTCGTGTCCTCAGGTCCCTCAAAGTGACTTCGTACCCCTTTGTGAAGATTGACTTGTACTTGCTTATTCCGACCGTGTCGTCAATGTGGAACCTGGTCGACGTGGGGTCGACGGAGGTTGACCGAACAGATTAGTCCACGCTTTCCACCAGTTACCGCTGTTGACATCCTTTGATTTCAACAGAGTCGAGCTGTGTTTGGTGTCGTAACTCGTTGTGGTTGCTCACCAGGTCGTCCAGCACGTCGACCCATCTCGTCGTTCCCTTGGCGTCCAGGTACTTCCACATTGCTGTCTTTAGCTTCCTGTTGAACCTTTCCACAATGGCCGCCTTCTTGTCAGACATTGTCGAGAAGTGGTTAATGTTGCGCTTTCTCAAGAGTGTCAGCACACCGACCTTGTAGAACTCCTTACCATCATCGAACTGTATTTCCTCAGGCAACTGACCAAACCTCGTGTGGAACTCCCTCAGGAACTTCAGCAGTGCGGACGACATACTATTTGTGTCCTTTCTTTTCACTGGCATGGCAAAAGCAAACCTGCTGAGAACCTCCACCCCTGTCAGGAACCACCTGTTTCCGCCATTCTTTCCGGAGTACTTGCTCATGTCCACGAAGTCCAACTGGGCTTGTTGTGCAAGGTCACTGACATAGGTCTTCCTAAACGTGTGTTTCCTGACTACGGGTTTGAACCTGGTGTATGTGTCCTGAGTTCTCAGCCAGTCTTTTATCTGTCTCTGTGTCACACTCAGGCCTTGTTCACGGGCTTTTTCGTAAAGTCGTTGCACTGACTGGTAACCGGTGACGGGATTGTAGTAAATGTGTCGCAAGGTATGTTCGTTCTGTAGGTCGTCCATTTATGCGACCATGATGAGCTCTAAGACCATTTCACCGATCTTGGTCTCACCAGTGTTGGTTTTCACAGTAAAGTCCAGTCAGTTGTAAGTACCAGTGTGTATGCGAATTCTCGAGTCACATCCCGAATAAGGCATAGTGCCGGTACCGGTTCTCGAGAACGACAGTGACAACGACAAAACGGCGACAATGTCGCTCTTATGCCCGTTGCTGTCGACGGACTGTCCGAACGTTGACGATCTCACCAAGTGTTTGATACCCAGGAGTGTGTCAAAGGTCTCACTACCAGTGTGAATCACAACAGTGTCAGAGGCTGGGATGACCTTGTCCTTCTCAAAACCAAGCAGTGGACCAATGTTTTCACTCAGTGTTATCGTGTAGCCTTTCATTGACTCAATGGTGACATGGTTGTGACTAGTGCTGACCTTGAAGCCCTGTACCTCACACTGGTCCTGTCACTCGTTGGTGTTATTGTTCTAAGGAGAATCATTGGTCTGATGTAAATGAGTCTGGACTTTAATCACATATCAAAGGACCTTGATAAGGAGGTAAAGAAGGAGCTGGTCTACCTGTACAACTACTACGACCTAAGGTTCAGAGGGTACAGAAAGTGGCACAAGAAGTTCAAGAAGAGAAAGTTGTACCTACACATGACTAGCATCGGCTTCACTACAGCGGATGGGATAGTGGGAGGGGTGATGGTTAACCCAATCGTGATCGGGACGCTGGCTGGTGTCGGCGTTGTCATTCAGGGGTACATTGCAAAGACAGAGCTGAACAAGAAGGTTGAGAGAACCAGAATAGCATGGAGCAACTACCGGGGTGTCTACACACAAATCAGGTCGTAACTACAACAGTGAGTAATTCCTGTCTGACCTAAAGGTTGTAAACGACATGGTCTCTGACCTGTGCCCACCACTACCGGATAGTGTTCTAAAGGGAGTGCAAGGGGTCACTAAATCATGAGTGTAAACCACAGGCTCAACCCAAACTATAGGAAAGCGACTGCTTCGAACATTGGCAAGAGGAACCGACATGTCATCACACTCAACAAGACGCGTGCAAAGCCAGGGGAAGACCTGATCATAGAGATCCCAAGGCTAAAGGTCGGTGCAAACCTGGTTCCCGAAAGTGTCTTTGTCCAGTTTGACATGACCGTAAGCGGAACCACGACACAGTTCCAGAACAACCTGTCCAGGCTCCTAGTCACGAAGCTGGAGATAAAGGTCAGCGGAAAGCGTGTCTATGACAACACCCGAGAGGACTTGTATGGTGTTTACCAGAACCTCTGGTTGTCTAAGAACGACAGGGACGACATGACAAAGCAAGGGATCACAAGCAAGAACCTACGTGGTCTGATGAGCGGCAGCGATGACGCTAACGGCACCACCGACGGTGACAAGGAGCTCTATGCGATACACGGTAACAGGGTGAAAATCCCAGTGTGCAAAATCCTTGAGAGACACGGACTGTTCGCCCCATACCCAGTGAGGAACAACTTTATCTACACAATCACCCTTCCGGAGAGCAGCCAAGGGAAAAGCCTGGTCTACAGTCACATTCAGCACCTGAGGACAGATGACTGGAAAAAGGAATCTAAAGGACACCACACTGATCAACTCAACCATCAACATCCCACGTGATTCAAAGAAGGCCGAAGTGATTCAAAGAAGGCCACGTGATTCAGAGGAGGTCATGACTGACGATGGACCAGCTGAAGACAAGAAGAGTGAGACAGAAGCCAAAAGAGCCGAACTGATCGGTTATGTTGAAGACGGTAACAGACTCAGTAAGACGGTCAAGCAACTGGACAAAGCCTAGGCTAGAGTCATAGACAAAGTGTACAAGGAGTACATGACACTGCGTGGTGAACATCAGGCTGGTGTAGTCCTGTGTGATGTTGTCATATCAAAGTGTTGGGTGGTCTTGTGTGATGTTGTCATATCACTTGTTGGGTGGTCTTGACGCTATCGAGAGTCCGCAAGAGCTGGAGAAGACCCATTGTTACGAGCTGACGTTGAGAGGATAACAACGACCATCGCACCTTAGATTCTGTCTGACAGGTGGACTGACTACGCTAAGTGTTATACACACCCACAGCAGCAACAAGAGTCTAAAGACTGACGAAGAGGAGACAAAGTAAGAAATGGACGGAAAGTTCACAGGTCAACTTGCAAGTGCAACGTTTGTGCTGAGATGAACAAGGCGGTCGACGAGTGGGGTAGTCTTGTTGTGAGGACACCCCTTCAGAAAAGTATGAAAGACATCATCAGAGTCATAGAGGAAAGTGTGGGAAGGTCAGTGGACGGTTAACTAATGTTGTCACACGGTGGTCAAGTTGGTCGACGGGGGTCGTCAGACGGTCGGCGACGTATCGATGAGCGTGGCGACGGGGTGGTTCTCAAAATCATCAACGAGTTTGGAAACCTTGGGCAAGTGGGGGAAATGGTGGTGGAAAGTAGCGGAGGGTGGTGGCAGACGACGGGTGGTCAAGTTGGTTGATGGCATGTCGACGACGTGTCGACGGGCGAGCGATGACAAAGGCATGTGGCGGAAAACAAAATTGATCCTTGCCGGGATCTTTTTCGCTGTATGACGGTCCGGAATTTTGGGAAGATGGCGGAGGTGGCGGGGACCAAGTGAGCAGAAATCCAATCACCTAGTAAGAAAATAAGGACAAGTGCGCCCTAGCCCGCAAAGAACCACTACTAGCATACTTGCATTTTTTAAATTTCCAACTGCAGTGATATTTTGGACAAAAATACTGTCCAAATAACTTTGGAACACATTGAACGTAACACCTAACAATATTTACCTATTTGCCATCGAGCTTTCCAATACAGGTATCGTTACTTGTTGTTTGTGAACATTAAAAAAGTGATAGAGGGGATGCTTCAGAATCGCCGATCGCGTATACTTTCTGAAAATTGAACAGCAACGGTTCGGATTCTCTCCTCGCTTTTTTAGCCTCGCGTGTTTTTTCAGTTTAGCCTCGCGTATTTTTCAGTTTAGCCTCGCGTGTTTTTTAGTCTCGCGTGTTATTTAGCCTCGCGTGTTATTTAGCCTCGCGTGATTTCTGCTCTGTCTGCTTTCATATAACTGTATGGAGATTATGTAGAGATAGGTTTGAGATATACATGTTTATGTATATATTAAATAGGATATAGTCGGGATCCCTGTGAACCAATCAAGTGTATTGATCGATTGAATTGCGAACATTTGATTGTAATTGGCTTAATGCTGTTGCGGTGTTCCTGCCAAGTTTTTAATTTCCAGGCCTAGGTTTTTTTTGTTTATTTGGCCTAACTATGACTATGTGTATTCTTGGCAAAACTATCAAAATAAAAAAATTAAACATTAATGAAGAAAACATCAACAAACAAGCTAAATTGCGATTGGGTGTTCTGACTTTAAGGCCCGTTTTACGTTTACACTTGCAATTTTTGCTGCGATATCTAGTGCGACTTTCATCTTCTGATGCATGTGAACGAGTAGATGAGTTATGAATGCTATGAATATATGTACCCTCATCTGAACATTCATAACTCATCCACTCGTTCACATCCATCAGAAGACGAAAATCGCACCCAAAATAGCATAAAACCTGATTTCGTATGCTGTTTACGAATTATTTAAAGAAATATAATACTATTGACACTTCATAGTGTATGCTTTTGCTCATGCACACAAAAATGTTGTTTCATGCCGTAGCCGTTTTTTGCCAAACAAAACGTCAATGGGAACGGGAATGTGCAGTGCGGATTTCCACTACGAAAGACTTTTCTAATTTGCATTAATTATTCCTAATTTTTGAGAGCCGTCTCTTTGTTATTGGAGGAGAATGAAGTATTTTTCCCCCCGAACTATAGACGAGTATCCGGGTCGCAACTATTGTCACTGAAATAATTGCATGTTAACGTTAATTTCTCACTGATATTGGCTCCAACATATTCCAAATAGCGTGAGCAAATATTTAACACTAATTTCCTGCGTCGTCACACGCAGTCACGATGGGTGGTTTATTGATACTTAACCAAATATAAAACATTTTTCCGTATTGATATACAGTTATATCAACACTCGTGGAAATTGGGAAAACTCGAAATTATGTGGAAACCATTTCGAGTTTTCACAATTTCCACAAGTGTTGATATAACTATTTATAATATAGCATTTGTAAATTCTGAACGCTGATTGGCTAAGAGCCGTGTTGATGTAACTCAATGTTAACACGGAAAATTTCTTTCTTTATATTTCTTTGTGCTATATTATAAAAAATATATAAAACATTTTTCCGTATTGATACACAGTTATATCAACACTCATGGAAATTGGGAAAGCTCGAATTTGTGTGAAAACACTCCGCCCTTCGGGCGTCGTGTTTCCACACAATTTCTCATTTTCCCTATTTCCACTCGTGTTGATATAACTGCATGTATATCAACACGGAAAATGTTTTATATTTGTTAAATATCATTACGGAAAAATGTTTTATATTTTTTTATAATATAGCACAAAGAAATTTGTAAATTTGCTCATACATTTGAGTAATTTACTTCAAATTTTGAGTCACTGCATGTAGGTGCACTAAATGATCTTACTCAAGTTTACCCAGTTTTGCAGTGTTTCTGCAGTGTTTATTTTTTATATAAGGATTTGGTAATATATCTCGACTGCACTGCTACAAATGTCGAGTGACGTGTCATTTCCAGAGGAAACTCGCGACCAAATTTTAAATTTCAACGTCCATACATAAATCATAATTGACAAAGATAAAAAAAATACTGCAGAGCGGGCGGGAGCCATCATCAGCTATTTTTATGTGACCTTATACCGGGGTCGAACCTGTGTTTAATACGCACATTTGGACTTCAAACACAGTAACGTGGATTAAAGTTAACCCAAGATGAACCCAGACTATTGACTGCAGCCGCGTAAGATATTCACCTATATATGTTCAATAATATTGTTGTACTGTATATATATGTATATATGGTCTGAGGATTGGGGAGTAAAATTTGTAGCATAACAGTGTCTATATAAGTTTTTTTTTAATAGGTTTTAAAAAGTTTTCCGAGTATAGATAATGACTTCTTTACTATCTGGATCCGATTGACAAAAAGTAACATCTGGATCAAGCACCTCCAAATGGGTAATATACATCTGAACGTCTTCGTTACAATACAGTATAAGTAATTTGCTATGAAATATATGCGTGAAAGCTTTGAGTGACATGCTTCCCGAAAGCAATATATTTTGTAACAGGGATGGATCCAGCATGATCTGGGAGGGGGGTGTTCTGTCGGCTCTGGTGCCGAGTATCGGTCATGTACGCCGCCCGCCCATAGTCGCTAGTCTTGCTCGACTACTCAATCTCGAACCCTGAGCCCACAATCCTCTGTGGAGGCTTGCTGAGGGTACATACTTCGTGTGACCCCTGTTATGATATATCAAGACCCCCTTCACCGCCTGATATGGACATTACGTATATAGAGCAAACTGAGCTCTAATTATTACGGTGCAAAAACTGATAAGGGTCAAATGAATTGATCTACCTTGCTGAGGTCTTCACCGGAGGATTGTGGGATCATCATGTTATTACTCAAATTACTGTATTTCATTTTGTCTCTAATATTTTTATGCTTCATCATGAAAAATATCACACACACCCTGCACACCCTTGAACGATCTATATAACCCGAAGGCCCAAGCAGTTGAAGTGGTGAAAGGCACGAAACCCCTGTAGCTATATAGGTATATATAAGAACATGACTACATCTCTGCCTATCCGCACGGATCATGATAGTTACATATCCAGATTTATACCTTTTTTCTTTCTCGCGAAGTATACCTTTACTTAATTCAAAAGGGCAAAAAGGGACTTTGTTTTTGCATATTCAGGCTCTCCATTTCAGGTAGTGGTCAACCTCACAGAAAGATGCATGCAATTTAGCCTGACATGTTCACATAGCAAGGAAAGAAAGGGCTAATTATTTATGACAAAAGTGGGAATCCGTAGAATTCCACTTATCTATTTTCAGTCTTCTGTATAGCGTTGCCATTGGTGATTGTTGATATTGAGTTCTTTTTTAATAAAGGAAACAGTTGGTGCCTTTTGTCATCGAACGCAAGACTGATTTCTCGCCCACGACAATCCATCTTCAATTTACATCGTTCATCCGCTATAACTTATCTTGTGTGAATTGGAATTGCTCCAGCTTGATTTGGTATTAGGCAATGAAAACTGTCACGGATTTGGTTTCTGTGTGTATTAATGTACCGGTATGTAGTGATATTTTTATCCAGTTTATATTGATGGCACAAAAACAACTTGTGTCAAAGAATAGTTTCAATTAGCATTGGCATGCATGTGCGTGCAAAAATGCCATTGCCCAAGTCTTCATTCATTATATTTAATTTACTGTAGCATTATCGCTACAGTTTTATTCCTGCCAAAGTGCCTATATAGTGCTATATACTATAGAGTTACATCGTAACTGCTCACAGTGAGGTCTAAATGTTATAATTAAAATACCTCCAGTTGCACTCAAAAATTCCATGCACTCATAATAGATAGATAGATATAATTTCGTTGAACTGTGTATAAGATTTTGCTTGGTTATATCTGAAATATCTGATTTCTATTTGCTTCCTTTGGACAGAGCGACTTACCACAGTCTTTAGGCTACGATCAGATTTTCACTATTGCTATTGATATTAAACATGTGTCGCCGTTCCGTCAGATCATGCCAAATATATATGGAAACATGCATATACTTCCGTCTAAGTCTCGAGTCAACTAAGTATTTGGATGGCAATAACTGTTAAGTTACACATATAGGTATCCATGATTTCTTGCAATATCGGCTTGCCTCTTTTAAGCGAAATTATATAAACAATATGGCAGTATATATGTGACCCCTATTAACATGGAGTGTAAAATATAAAAATACCCACTTGATTTGAATAGCTATGCTAAATAAATTGCAACCTCCTGTTGAGTGACCACCCTACGCAATTACAATACTACAACATTCATTGTAAGCACAGTGCACACAATTTGTTGGCACTGAAGTCAAATGAATTATATTTTTAAATACACTATAAATCGTTTATGACGAAAATGATCGTTTATATCGATTTAATTAAACTAAATCGAGTGACACAGGCAATCGTGCAATTTTACGTTGTCGTTGATTTAGTATAGAGAGTGAATTAACTCCTAAAGTAAGCCCACCTCTTAAATAACCCTCATTTCCCTGATAAATCCTTTTTCATTAATTATTAAAGGAAGAAATTATTTTATTAAGCCCCTGTCTATTAAGTCGCCCTCCTCGCAACAAAGAAGCACATATATAGTGTGTAGGCCTACTGATTAGATTTTATTAATTGGCGTGGAATTTCACTTGCGTTTACTGCAGCGCATTGCTTTACCAGGAGGGCTTAATAGAGGATTTGTGTACAATTGCATGGAAATACTATTGTACTATAGATATCGGGAATATTATTGGGAAACACTTAGCCGTCGAGCTGCGCATGTCTGTTTTTTAGATATTTCAGTTTGTTTGATACAGTATAATGCAGTAAATCAACGGAATCTTTAACGTTATTGGGTGGGACAGGGTATAGAAACTTCCAACGAACCTGACCCACACCACACCATAGAATAAAGATCCACATAGAAGGGCAACTTACGTCGGAAGCTTTGAAGTTTTTGTCCTCGCGCATGTCGCATTACGCATGTTGGCCGCCATTTTCCTAGCCAGTCAATGACATTTTCTGGCCAATAAACACGCTGTACTGGCTGGCTGCTCCGCCTTCTGGCCAGTAAACTGCATATTTTTGCATAAAAAAACGAGGACACGTTGCACCGCTGAGTTGCCCTTCTGTTACTGATCTTTATTCTGTGACCACACCTCAACCCTAACCCCCCACTCTGCCCCTACTTATAATATTGAATTAAGTATAAACAAGGTTATAGAACTAAACAACATTGAAATGAGAGGGAGGTGGTATAGAATAATCTAAAATCTTTTCCCATGGGAAAAGATTTTAGATTGATCTTCTTTTTTGCATGCATGCATGCAGGTCATGGGTCTCGATTTCCCGTTTGCACTATAGCCCCATTAGAGACCTTACGATTTTAGGACGGCAACGCGACGTCAACGGCTACCAATACAATAGATCATTGAAAAGTATTGAAAAATTACAATATATGAATAATTTAGACATTGTCCTCGCTCTGTTTACAACGCCAAATCACAGATTTTCACGTCTTGATACAACGGCTGCATTTCAAGCCGCAACAAGTGCAACTTCAAACTGCATGTGTTCAGGAGAACTCTTCTCAACCATAAAACCCATGTCTTCAACTTCTAAGACTGTATTAAATTCATACCATTGATATAATATACGACGAATTATCTTTATTACCATTTATTTGAAGGAGTTTGTTTTGGCCGTCGTTGTCGAGTTGCCGTCCTAAAATCGTAAGGTCTCTATTGCATGGGCCTATACATCTTGTAATCTATAATTTTGTGTCCAATCACCGTGTCCAAAAAGCTGATGAAATAAACTACTCTTTAGCATAATTAGGTGCCGCCGGAGCATCACTTCAAAGTCCAAATTAGAATTATTGTATATGCGCCTAATCTCGAGTGTTTATCTTATACGTAATACGGAACGAATATCTTAGACATAGTTTTCCTTATTTGTTCATGTCCGCAATGAAAGCTATTTCAACTCTAGAGAAAAACTAACCGCAGTATAGTATACAACTTAATTCTTAACTGGATTGAATGTTATTATAACTGTCCGTGTTTGTATCATGAAAATTATGAAATTTAATTATTGGAGTAGGAACGGCCCTTCAAAGATACATAGTCATAGGTATGTATAAACTTTGAGTAAAAAGCAGTACGTCAATGTAATTTTTTACGACCTCTATAGTGAAGTCTGTATAGCGCGTATATTATACACTTAATGTCTGCTCCCGAGGGGAAAATACTTATACTTATAATTTTGTTTTTCCAAGAGTTTAATGTTCATACGAGCTAGATGGAGGGAAACATTGAGATTCGAGCGAAAACGGAAAACAAACTATTTCCCGAGGGAACAGACAGAGTGTTTTTTATAGTGACAAAGAAAAAATAAACAATATTCACAAAACAGTTGCCGTCCCATGTTGTGCATTTAAGCGTACGTGTGCACACGGAAAATCCCGTTTTAAATCCAGTTTTAAATTTTACTCGTTGAATAACGAATTGAATAAAACGACAGAATTTTAAATCTGTATTAATGTTTATTTGTTGAGGTAATTAGTAGTAGTAAAATTTAGAATTATTTTACTTTTAAAAACTTTTCCGTGTATGAAAAACGCTTAACTGGAAAGTAGCCTTAACTTTTTAAGACATGCACTGTAGCTATTCTTTTCGTAAACTGGAAAAAGCTCTTTCTAAACTTTCGGCTTCATTTTGAGCATTTTATGTATAAACAGATGAAGCATAGGCTATATAGCTTAAATGTGTCCTTTAACGATGTGAATTAGTGTGAAATCATGCAGTGATGTCTGATGGAGCTACGATAATCCTCAAGTATACTTAACTGTCTCTTTATGCCAGACAGTGGAATTATAATTGTATATATACCTTAAATGTATATGTATAATATCACAGTATATAGTTTCGCTTATCTCAAAGCTTTGCAGTGGTTTCACCAAGAGTTTGTATCTTCAGATGACTGTCCTTTGGGGTAAGCGAGAGTACATTTTGGCTCTATATCTTTGTGGTATCGAACACTCTCTAACGTTTCGTGAACCAATACATAGTATAGTATATACAGTATATATATGAATCCTCACTCTCTCTTTCTACCATAAACTTGCACAATATCTGATTAATTAAAAAGGTATACTTGCATGTTTATTTATCAACTATATATAAGCTCTTCATGAGATCTATATTTTGCAATTTACAACTATAGCTTTCCAATACATTCATCCCATTTTCTTCTTCTGATGTATGTGAACGAGTAAATAAGTTATGAATGCTCTGAGTGTATGGGCGCCTTCCATCAACACGGCCAGACCGGTCAGAACGGTCAAGTTGTTGAATGAAACACAAAACATTTGGGCTTCGGACCTATCTGACCGGAAAATTTAGATAACATTAGAGTGAGGTCCATTTTCGCTACATGTTTGAGAAACATAGACCAGATCTTTCCATTGATACAGAGAAAAGAATTGGCCGATCTGACCGGTCAGGCCATTAAATGGAAAGCGCCCTATGTATACCCTCAGGCAAACCGTGCAGCAACAAAAGATGACAACGGGTGAAGGAGTGATTTAATGTAGTAATAGTACTCCTAAACAATAGTACTGTCCCACCGGGCACACGACGTTGTTTCAACGTTGAAATTTGGTAGAAAAAAGGTTGCGACGTCGACAACCTAATATCTACGTTGCTTTGACGTTGTTTTACAAACATTGGTTCAACAGCAGCCAACAGACGTTGAATTAACGTTCATTCATGGTTAAATGTACGACGTCGATTTGTGAACCAATCTCAACGTTGATTAAACGTGGATTCAACGTTGAATTGTGGTTGACGAAATTGGCAACCTAATTTCAACGTTGTTTCAACGTCGAAACAGTAACGTCGATCCAATTTGCATAGTCAACCCTTTTTCAACGTCTATCCAACGTCTGGAAAGTCATTTCCAACGTTGATTCAACGTTGGATAAACGTCCTTTTGCCCGCTGGGGTGTTGTTACTTCGCTAAATTCGTTTTTATTTATACTGGTGATATGTTTGAACCAAAGATTGAATTCTCTTTATAGAACTAAACGAGAAGATGAAATTTGGTATTTCAAGTCAGCAAATGGAGATGGTCTTCGCATTCCTATAAAGGTGAAACGTCACGATGTCCTGGATGTTCCAGTAAGTTGTTAAACGACGTTTAGTATATATTGTTAGACTATGTTCACACGATAACGAAAGAATTCGGAACCCATTCATTAAGGCCTTTGGTATATATAAGCACTGGAAAAAATTTTGAAAATCCATGCATGCATAGAAGGTCATAGAATGGAAATTGTATGGACCTTTATTGGAAATAGAATGGATTTTGGTCATCCATAATAATTGTATATTTCCATAGTATGGATATAGTATGGAAATATAGTATGGATATACTATGGATTTAGTGGTGCAATTATTATATACATAACACCAAGTTTCGTACAGGTTTCATGGAAAGTTTTCGGGGAAATCGATTGGTGTGTTTTACAGGGACTGCATGGAAAGATTTGGAAAATCTATACTGTCACATTTTAGGGCTCATCGAAAGTCATGGAATTTTGTACACAAATAAAAGCCATAGAAAAATCTATATATATATTTTATTATAATATAGATTTTTATGTTTCTTTGGTTTTTATTCGCGTTTTATAATTTATATCGAGCACTTATGCTCATTGTAATATTTAAATGCCATGCATGCACTCGGATCCTCATGTACGAGTGAAAATCAAAAGTATATTTTCTGTTACTTAGTATTACTTTTTAAGAAGTTGATTTTGGAAATTTTAATGTGAGGGCTATTTTAAAGTAAGGGCTAACTGACCGTTGACCACTTCATCTGCACAATACTGCTTAGTAAAAAACTATACATGTGTAGCTGTACTCATATATGTACAGTGTATACAAAATATGCCCTCTTAATAACTACAAATATTCCACATGTACTCCCTCCCCAGTTTTTCATGCAGTGTGCATATATAGTCTTTGTATCGGCATTTCTTTCATGGTGACTGAGAAGTTTCCATAGCACAAGTGGCGTGGGAAATTTTAAAATCCTTTGTAAAGAAAATCAGGAATTAAATAATAGCGGGAATGCTTCATTAATTACAGGCCTATTTATATGTACAGTATATGTTCCATGACTATACATTTTTACAAAATCTTTGCCAAGATGTACAAAACATTTAACTCATTTATAACGGAGAAAAGGCCAGAGCTTTACTCCTAAGACAATCGGTATTATGTAGTTTCGATTATGCATTTTCTCCCTAATATTGATCATTGTTATCTCGCTATATCTACTAGGTATAAGTCAGATAGTTGTTTGATCTCATGACAATGGATCCGCTTGAGATCGAGACAAAGAAATTACAAAAAAATGGAATTTGAATTTATAGCTGTTTTAATTATATGACGAGCATCTTTATACCGGCTTATGTCCTTATGACATTTCATTTGACTTGTTTTTAATAAAAATAAATTTCTTGGAGAAAATGAAATATAACGATATAGACATATATGCATGTATTACACTGTGAATGTTTTTAAATTTCACTGTTGTCATGCACCTTTTCTCGAAATTTTCGTATTGCAATTAAATGAAAGCATGTTTAACCTAACAGTGGTTTAATATAATACGAACTAGAAACCTAATTTTAAAATCTTTGAACTGTTGTTGTTGCTTTGTGGCATTTCGCAAAACAACCAGGAACTGGTGGAAAGTGTCTTATATATAGGCTTGAACTGTCTGTGCCAGTGTAGGTATATATAGTGCCAATAATAAGCTTTTGTTGGCACGGATACAACTGCCTGAAAAATATAATACATACGTCGAAATTCTCCTCATATTTTCAGGTATATAGTTGCATCCCTACCAACGGCAACGAAAGTCTGATATATAGGACCTAAGAAGTTAATAAAACTTAATAAGAAGTAATAATAATTAAAAGACAATTTAAACTTCCGTATAGTAGATACTCACATTACAAAAGGTAAATAATTATTATGGCTGAAGAGGATTTTTGTAATTAAGGGTTATCACTTATCAATATGCGCTATAGTTACTTCCAGCTGAACGAAGTTTCCGGAAACGTTGCCTGGCTGCTATATAACTGTTAACATAGAGTGAAAAAGTGGAAAGGTGTTCTGTACCAATACAGGATTGTCATGCCTTAACTAGTTAAAAATTACTCCCAAATCTGACCCTGACGTGAGAACACCGCATTGTCCGACAAGCTGCATGCACGAGCAAGGCTCGATGCATATAATCAGAGCGTTGACGTCAAATACAGTTTTAAAATGAAGCTAGCCGCTCATTCTTCGTACGCGAATATAAATTTCTATTAGTATGTTACGAGCGATGATTTCTGACGTCATGGAATAATATAAGTGACAATTTTATATATTTAAAGCCTTTTAGACAAAACAAGTATATAGATACCTTTTCCGAAAATTTTATATTCTGCTCATTTTTTATCCCCGCTCTTTCGGTATTAATTCTTTGAAAAGCTAATTTGAGATTAACAATTTATTTACTAACTTGTAAACAAATGCTGCAGGAAGTTTTTTCGTTCTGTTATGGCTATGAAAAGCGAGGAACTTGCTAATTAGCTGTTTTCTCGTTCACAATACTCCTGTAATTTTTGAGCGGCCATCTTGTTTTTTATCTAGAGATCAATCAGATTGCAGAATAGCTCATATTTGGTAGCATGATCTAAATTATAAACGTAATTGGTTCTGCGCTCTCTTAATTAAATGTTCTCATGTAACAAGTCATCAGTG